AAAAAAACACAGTTGTGCACAAGCACTATCTAACGTCTGGCTGAACGTACCTTCGAAAACGACGTGAGACAACTCTTGTTCAAACAGTTCTCGCTTAACAAATATAAAACTTCATATTATGATATGCACAATTTTTTCCAAATATCTGAGCCTTTCGATGGTGTCCTGTGGGAACAATTTTTCTCCGTATTTTTTCCACTTCCATTCCGACGGGAACGGGAACAGTGTTAAAAATTGACGTTCCTGAAAATAATTCTATCTTACTTTTATGTAATAACTGTTTATTTTCAATAGCTATTCTTATTCATATATAATTAATAGAAAAATAACAAATATGTATCATCAAAAATTAGACAAGTTCATTCATTGTCAATTAATCATAACTTAATCATCACAAATATTAGCTTCTTTACTATCACCATATTCTTGTGCAACACATGATGTCACGAAATTTTTTATTTTGGCTTCATGGCAGATATTACATCAGGAACTTGTAGAGGATATTAGTATGATGACTCTTATTAAGTTGATATTTCTGTATTTCGTGAGCACGACAAGATGAAGGCTAATAAATTCAGATCACATACAATTTCATATGGATTACCATATCATATGATCAAAATTGTAAAAATATTCCCAGAAAATCTCATCCATATGATCAGAGCATTTTACAATTCGAGACTGTCAATAGAAAGAACGGCCAGAGTTGTTTGAAACTAAACTTTCAGAGTCATTAGTCAATATTTCGAAGAGCTATTCATATCGAACTTTATATACAATTCGTGGTTTATGGTAATTTCTAGTCAATTGATGACTTTTAATAGTTTTAATATTATAGGTTATCCAAAACTGGAACCCGAATAGTACATATTGTAGTGTTTGATGAACTCTACAAAACTGCATGTTTTTATTGGTAACACAAGCATCTTACAGATAAAAAGACTCGAAATATTGAGTCGATTGTATGAGTCAGCTGCTCGATGAACGATAAACCGAGTTCTGTTGTACTCCGTTCGATTCCACAGAAAGTTTTATATACATTTTTGTATTCGAATACGGTATGAGGTGTGTAACCTTTCGGTAAGAATGAATTCGAAACATATATACGTACATAGGAAATATCACTGCCGAAACTTTGATTCATCTTGTAATGTCGCCATCTTTTTATTAATATTATTTGATTGTATATTTTTGTTTTTATTCGAAAATGGATAGATCCTAGTAAGAATCTCTTATCATTCATTAACAATCATAATTATACAAAAATCGTTTAGTTTCTTTTTTATCTGTTAAAGAATTTTATTTTATATTAGTTCCTTTATTTTCTTACAATTGCATGATAATCTGTTAAATAAATCTAAAACTGAGTGAAAAATATATTTATCAATTTATTGATCTGATAATGAGTAAAATAGATTCTATTGCTCTCAATTTCTTTGTTTTGATGAAATTGTAAAATAATTTTCTTCGTATTTATTTTAAGTAACACATATATGGAAAAACAATGATTTTAATGAATAGTATTATCACCATAAGTAGATATTGCATCCTTGATATTCTTTGATTTCCATTACTCTAACATCAAGTCATTTCTGTGATTGAAGTAAATTATTGATTATTTCAATTCCTTTAACAATACTATGTGTGATACATAATGAATGCAGTTCATGAGTATATTCATTATCATTTGATAATAGAAATAGTAAAGCTACTTCTAAAAATATTTTATGTATACACATTGAAAGTTGTTGTATCTGAGGACAAAGATTAATAAGTAATTTTAATTGTTGAAATGTGCAGTTTGATTTAATAATCATATTCCTAATAGTATTTATATTTGATATTATTTGAAAAATTTCATTTTGTTGAATTGATACTAAATCAATTTTATTAAATGATTCAGGATTAAACATCAATGTATGAAGATTGGATAAGAAATGTAATAATTCCATCACAATTTCAAAATGAATATTCAGACTATCGATAGAGATTTGAGTAAGTTGTTTTAAAGATAGAATATGATTGAGAATTGTTGGAAGAGAATATTCACTTTCATTACTCGAATTATATCGAAGAGTCAGCTTAATTGCATTTGGAAAATAAGTTTTACAACTAATCATCATTTTTTTTCATTTTCAATGTTAATATCATGCGCTGAATTCACGTTACTTTTATCATCATATGGTGAACTACTTTTCATTGTTTCTCCATGTAATACATATTGTTTTCTCCTTAAAATAAAACCTCATATGAATATGATGTGCAAAAAAACCATTGTCGTTGAACCTAAAATTGAGTTCGAAATTGATCAACTAGAGTATTATATTCTAATTGATTGTTTATATTGAATATCAAAGATTCGTAAATATAACATATAAGATAAAATGAATTGTTCCCATCTCTTTGCATCTCAATATGCTCTATGATCATAACTAGCTGAAATATATAAAACTTGAACTTGATGAAATAGGCTTTTAGCTATCAAGTTAAAGTCATTAGAAGTCATTCCATTAATATTTAAAGAAACATGTGTTAAATCATTGAACATCGCTCGATCCGATTTAAACTGGCTTGTTCAATGATCCACATAAATGATGGAAATATTCGAAGATAAAGATCATTTATATTTTCATCCTCATTTACACAATTGATTCTCAATGAATATAGACAAGATAAAGAGTTTAATTGAATAAGAATTTTCTTCAAAAGTGTTGAATTGATATTATCAAGGCTTAAATTTTGAAGGGTATGGATGGGTGTGGCTGTTCTCTGAATTCACACCCACACCCTAGATGTATCTTGTTTATTTTTTTTTTGTATATCTTTAATTTTAAAACATATTTTGCATGCAATCTAGTTTTCTTCAACATTCTACTATCACTGCTCAGTATATCAAAAAGAAGAAACTATGAAGCTAAATTTTATTTCATACATCTAGATAGATATGAAATAATATGTTTTGACATCGATAAAGTCACTAGAATAATTGAACTAATAATCAAATATTTTTCATGATGAAGTTATTCTTCCAAATTTTGTATGTGACCTGTTTATGAGCATTTGAAAAAGTTCGAGCAATAATGAATCTCTCAAAAATGAAATAACCAAATAAAAAACATTTATAGTTGAATCAAGGACAAGATTAACCATACAGGTTTCAGTTTTTTATGAAACACGATCTAAAAAAAAGTTTGAAGTATAAATGGAGTTTCTTTTGGACATCTCTGACTCACCGAAGTGGCAGACATCTTAGCAACGACTTGTCGAGGACCATGTTAGATATCTTGGCATTGCTACTTTTTCCTCCTACGTAGATTATAACAGACATATCAACAGGTCTGAAATACGATTGAAATTGTGGCAGGCACGTACCCAGAAATTTCCTCAGAGGAAGATTGACGTTTTTAAGGGTCATATTATGCAGAAAAACTGTTTATCGACTGGCAAAATTTGATCGATCCGTGTTCGGTCAGATGCCTATTTTTCAGCGGATCGATCCGCCAATATTTTTCTCTGGGTACGTCCCTGAATTGTGATATTTGTTTTTTGCCCTTCTTTCATACTCATTATAATATATTATAATTAATATCTTTCACCATCAACATATGTAAATTATTTCAATAGTCTGCAAACTTGTTCAGTATTTTAACGAAAATCAATCTAAATTTCTAAGCAATTCGATTCATACTTTCTACACTAGAATTTTCACACAAACAAACTTTTGTTTTTATTATTAATTCTTTCAAATACTTTCATTATATTAGAGCAAAACAAATGTTATTGAAACTATCAGAAAAAGAGAATGATAAAGAAATTGTTTATTTCCCATATTGTGTGCTGTTGTTTTCACAATTTCATTAATCATATTTATAGCTGTAAATCGATGATCAATAGTATAATCAACTAACATAAAAGTTATCTGAAGTGGATATTCTTTTGGTTCTGGATCAAGTCCATCAAACGCAAATGTAACAGATTCCAGTGGTACATTGAAAACTTTACTTTGAATATTTGTACCAAGTTTTACAGTAATATTTCGTTTTTCATAGGGAAGTTCCGAAGAGATGCTGGCATTGACAATAATTGCTGATGTTCCGTTGTTTGTCTTTGTTTCTTTCCATGAATATTCGTCAAATCGAGGCACAGGGTTAAGTGTCGTCTGATCTATAAAATCAAATCAATACAAAATATCATTTAAAGATCTAATAGATGTTTTTCAAAAGGAAGAATGTCCATTCTCTCCTTTTTATTTCTAATTTCGTACTTTGAATTATTTCAGTTCTCGAGATTTTTTTCGAATGAATGAAAAATTTTATAGTTATTATGTAACAAGTAGGTAAGACTATATTAACAGCTGCCTACACTGTAAAAAATAGGCGTAGAATAATAAACCCTTCAAAAGGGTTTATTAACCAAAGATCACATAACACAGACTGATATGCCGATCAGTCGCGGTGTATAACTAAGGAGGCTAAATTATATGATTTTAGCGATCAACTTCAGCGATGTTATATATCCCTAATTGAGATTCAATTTATATACCTCTCTAGTAGAGGCAAAATCACTTAATTATATTTTCAATGTGAACTCATCATTCTCTCACAATCTTCGCAAGTTTTTCTGATAAAGGTTGACATGTAAAATGATAATATCGGCTTACTTTTCTTGACCTTTTTTCTCAGTCCCAGGGAAGCTTGTGATGTGAATCTAACAATGGATAGCTAACTCGTAAAGTAACGCACACGTCAAAATGAGAAGAAGTTTCCAGGGTGGCTAGAATCTATCCTAGAATTCTGTTAGATTCGATAGGATTTCTTCGACAAAATAGCTTCTGATAGTATGATGTTGTAAGTTGAAGATTTCTGCTTATCAGGTACCGATAAAAGTTTTCATGTTGTATCCGGCAATATCTGATCCTTCAAAATTACTGGGTTGATTACAGATACTGTGGTATGTTGTTAGATTACCTTACGCTATTGATTTACTGTCAAAATGAAATAATCCCTCTCCTTTCGAGTTTCTCCGTATACGATCACATTTTGGACGATCGTATGTCTCTAAACCGTACACGGAGAAATAAAATCGTATATGAAGAAATACAGAGTAAAATGAAAGCCATAAACGAGCTTTGTTTGTTCATAAACGATCATATTTCTGCATATACGATCACAATATTGGGCGATGTGAAACGCCGTATTTCTCAGATTATAAGTGTGTTTGCTTGGCATGAGTTAATATTGACAACGGTATGATGATACTTGGAAGAAATCATATATGATGGAATGTGATAGCAACAAACAAGAACGCTCCCACTGATCAAAAAGCAGAGGATCATACAATCTACCCAATACAAATAAGTCGTTTTCTACAGAACGCAGGAAGACGGCCATATTTCACTGAGAAAAATCAAGCGTTTTCGATCGCACGGGATCAAACGATTTCTCACAAACCCGCTGTCTGGGCACCATTGCAATCAATGTATTAATTTACGCTAGGAAACGGAAAAGCGAAACTGATTTGCGAAAAATGATCAAAATCATAGAAGAATTACTGAAAATTGAAAAAAACGAAAAAATGCTGTCCTTATATGCACAATCATCCGAAAAAAGGAACAAAAAGTAGGAAAAAAAACGTTTAATGAATTCTGATCGTTTCTATTTCTGTGTGCCTACTTAGTCAAATAGAGTAATATTATAGTCAGATACTACGCAAATAGAATAGTCTATTTTTCTAATGTTTTCCCGTTTTCTAATGCATACATAAGCAATTGCACAAAAATCTCTATGAACAATTGGAAGTTTCGTTTCTTTTTTTATTCTTTCAAGTCATATTTAACGTATATTGATAATGTACGAGTTTTGTCGGATTTATAGTACTATTGTACCAGTGAGTTTTAGTTTTCTTCGGACGAAACTGTATATGCCTCTTTTTCTCCCTTTTTTTACAAAGTGTTGGTGAGATGCCAGGCTATAGTCGTTTGCTTTCTTCAGCATACTACTCTTATTAATCAACAGCACTGCAGAGACGTCAGAATTCCCGTTTCTTGGAGTTTCTTTCCAAAAAATGTGGACACATTTCATAATTTCTTATGTTTTTTAAATACACTGGAATATTTACACATCCTTTTACTCTTTTTTTTTGCAAAAAGTTACCATATGTCCTGAATTCTCGTTCCTGAGAACGAAAACCTGAAACTAATATTCTTTTAGTCTAATATTTGTTAAGTTGGCTTACCTTCCATATATGTTCGTAATAGTCGACACTCGCGTCGCCAGTTGCCATCGAGACTGAAAGCATCAATCGGGATATTTTCTTCGTGCCATTTACTTTGAAAGCAGACATGATAGACAGTATTCTGTTTAAGTCCTGCAACAACACTCTGACCAGCCTTATTGAGTCTATCCCTATAAAAAGTTGTAATTGCAGCGTTCGTGTATATTCGGATGCCCGCGTAAAGACCAACACTGAATACGCCCGTGAGATTAGTGAGATCGATGCCTTCGACGGATGGCGATGGATGCCAAACGAGTTGAATTGAAGATGAATTGATTACTTTGAGAGAATCCACGATCGGTAACAAGTCGGTGTTGAAAGAAATCTTCTTTTTGCTCGGATTAAATCGAAGAGAGGGACTGTAAGCAGAAGAAAACATGACCAGGCAGACAATAAGAAATATCATACTCCAGGCGTGGTGCATTGTTTTTAAATATATAAGTAATAGATACGAAATTAGAAAGGAAAAAATTTGGTTTTTATTTGATTAAGAGTTCGGTAAAGGATTCGATCAGTTGTACTATGAGAAAGTCGATAAATTAAAATATGATTATAATAGTTGGTCACTAACCTGCTTGAATAACTGAAAATAATATTGTCACCTTGATTTACTATCGATAAAAACTATGACCTTAAATACAGCACAACAAAGAATATCTTAAAAAAAAAGAATGACATCAAACACGGTTGAAATAGTAATCAGATACTACAAATATAACAAATATTGACATTACAATGAGACGATACTATGAGAATTAGACGTGAATCAGTGTTACCTACATCCAGTCGAAATAGTATTTGGACGCCTAGATATTGTTTCTAGATATTAGCGATAAGAACAAAAGATAAAATTTTCTTCTTTTATAAAAGGTAAACCTTTTCGATTAGTAAAAACCGAGAAGTTTTACCTTTTATAAAAGTAGAAAATTTTATCTTTTGTTTTTGTCGCTAAAATCTAGAAACAATATCTGGGTGGTGCCCGAATACTTTTTGGACTGAGTCTATATTAAATGTGTTGTTATTCGAAATACGTTAACGTTGTTAGTCAGATATAAAACATAAAGCCCTTTTAAATTTTTTTTCTTTCTTCCGAAGATGCACGCTTATCTGTTGACTTTACCGGCTTCTTATTTTCATCATCAATCATGGAGTGCGCATAAACCATACCTCCAAAGTAAGGTGGAACTATTCATCTCAGGCAAATTTAAATTCATGTATATCGATCAGGGTGTGGGTGTGATTAAAGAGAAAATGAACCCACATTCGTTCACTCTATTTGATTTAACTCATTCGAAAAAGTTCGATCGTTTTATGTTAATAACATCTGTTAAATCGAAGAAAAATTTCTAAAAATCAACGGAAAACGAACAAAGTGAATAGACACTTAAAAAAACACAATATATAATTAACGATAAGTGAAAAATACACTCAACTAGAGATGACATTGAGTAATTTTGAGACAAGAGAAATATTGCGAACACTTCACACTGGCCCACTGATCAGCATGTTCCTTTCATCGTTTCTGGATCAGATCGGTCTGCTTTGAATGAAGTTAGAGAGCAAAACATTGCTCATTTGTTTGTTTCAATGCATCGATCAATTCAACGAACAAACAACTTTGCCACAGATTAACACTGCAACTCTTATCGATTTTATTGAAGTCTTTGAGAACAATGAATCTTTCCAATGGTTGATTGATAGAATTCCTTGAAGCTTTGTTTCGCTATTTGCAACGAAACGTGATTCAATGTAATGAAATCGACAAGAGATTGAACATCTTTTGATTCAAATTAAATATCAATATTTTTCAATGAATCAACTTGAAAAACGGACTGGAATAGTAGAAATAGTCCCTGATAAACGAATCAAAGTCGGTTCAATCATTCGAACAAATCATTCATTCATCTGAAGAATGGCGACCATCAATTCGAGATTATTTGATTCAAACTGATTTAATGAGAAGCAAGATATTCAACTGTTGATCAATGTTGTCACAATGAGCAAAGTCATGGTTGCCGAAATCTTGATGTTTCCTTTCTATTCATCAATTTGAAGAAAAAGATCGAATTGAATTCTCATTTTAATCGTCAATGGTCCAAACGAAGAACTCAACATGTCCTTTTCTTAATTCTATTAGATCGATTGATCGAATCGATGTTTCATTCATTTGTCTGTTAACTACTCAACACTGCTGAAATCTCTTCGAGACTATTCTTCAACCATGATTCAACGGTCGAGCTCGTTCCTTTAAGCTGGACAAAATGAATTTCTTCGACGAGAATGAAAACAAATTGCAAGTGTCCATCGATTATCTGTATCTGCCGAAAGAATAGTTGTCTGTAGAATTGAAACCTATCAATTGCTTTTCTAATCAGTCGATAGACGAGTGAAAAAAACATCGTTGTTCAGAAGATGATCTTGATTTGAATTCGGTTGAATGATGAAGAAACTTCCTCAATAAATATCAACTTGGATGTGCCTGTGAGGGGTGTGGGTGAAGAGAAGATCCACATCCAGATCCCGGCTCAGACACAAACCCACACATATAGTTTAAATGAAGTGAATACCGATATTCACATCCAAAATAGAATCAAAGCATATATTACGACATAATTTCTCGAAAATAAAAAAACAAAAATGAGAAGGAAAGGCACTATGAAAATTTTTGTATACATAGAAAGTAAATAATGGACGAACGAACAAAAGAAAGTACATGTTAGTAGGATGCCTATACACAGAGAAAGGCACATTAAAAGTAAGATTGTTAAATATAAACCAATTTAGTAGATAAACACAAAGAAGAAAACGAAAAACTCTATGAAAGAAACAACAAGAACAAAAATAAATAATTATATATTGTTTAATATCTTTTGTATAGGAACACATGTTCAATATTACTTTAATATTTTATTGCATTGTTGATCGTGCTAATTCGTTATTAACAATTTTATATTCACAGTCTATTGCTTGATCAAAGATTGATGTTTGAATATTATCTTCTATTCGTATTAAAGCATTTTCAACGACATCATTATCATTTGAAGCTTCAGCTCGACTAACTGATATTTTTGTTTCATGATTCGAAGATGTTTGTTGTTGCTTTTCATTCTTCGATGTTGAACCATTTTCAATATTTGTTATTTTATAGATTATTACCGAATCAAATATATCCGATTCTACAAAAAGAAAAGAATAAACAATTAAATCCTACAATCTATATTTTTTGATATAAATATAAGAAAGAACTTTTGTTTAAAAAAATAAAATACTGATGTACTATTGATATTATTTAATCCATCCATTTTCTCTTCGTGAACATTATCATTATCCAAATGATCAAGTAAAGAAACAAGAGCATAAAGTTGATTATTATTTGATGGTCGAAATAAAAACATGATGACAAGAAGAATTAATGAAACAAGTATATGCCAAAATGCATCATCAAACTAAATACAATTATTTTTATTCAACAGAAATCCAAAAGAAAAAAAAAACAAAATTTTATTACCCAAAATTCTCTCCAATTGGTAATACATGTAGTGAAAACATATGATTTTAATGACCAAATCATAAATAATACACTTCCAATAATAGCAAATATAATTGTATGTGTAAAATGTTGATAAACATTCAATTGAATAATATTTTTTTTTAAATATAATATTCGTGTTGTTTCAACTAAACCCGTAAATATCCAATAATAAATTATTATATCAGCAATAGCTAATGGTATACGTGATATTAATACTTTAATATTTATTTCACCATTTTTTGTATTTAAACGAAGCATTACTTCTGTTGTAGCAATTGCAAAATAAAGTATACTCATCGCAAGTACTTTTTGTTTTAATGATCCTAAACGTGATTTAACTATATCATAATCAACTGCAATAATAATAACAAGCATACGTAACACAGTACGTTTTAAACATGAAAGTACTTCAGCTGTAACAATAGTTAAATGAACTTTATATCTAAAGATATTTAAAAAAACAAAAAAAATTACATAACCTACGGCACGAAAGTCTTGGCACAAAATGTTCGCTCATTTTTCAGTCATTTAGAAGCAACTAGTGAGAGCCAAAAGTAGTTAGTTAGAATCAGCATTTCTTGCTCTTTCTGAATATATGTTCAGAATTTCCTTCTAATGTAAGGCTGGTCAATTATGACTAGGTTTTTTGGAAGGATCCAAAATGATGTCTGTACAAAGCGAAATAGGATTTTTACGCGATTCTTAGTTTGTGCAAATAGTCTTGACTCGACATTATTGTAGAGCATTCAATTCTCTGCAAGATGAAGTATTACAATAAGCGAAACATCAAATCATTCAAAAGTGACGCGTTTTTCCGAATGACTACTTTTGATGAAAAGTGATATTTGTCGAAAAATCAATTTTTCTAAAAGCTGCTTTTAAAATATAAAACATTTTTGATATTTGGCGGCAAGATAAAGCAGAAAAGCAAATAGCACATTTTATAGAGCAAACTTTGCTGTACAAAACTGAATTACTAAAAACCATTTCACAATTTGAATTGAGTAGGTTTCAATCAAAATACAAAATTAGTCAAAATAAAATTCTGTACAAACATCATTTTGGATTCTCCCAAAAAACGTGGTCATAGTTGATCAGCCTTACATCAGAAGGAAATTCTGAACATATATTTAGCAAGAGCAAGAAATGCTGATTCTAACTAACTACTTTTGACTCTCACTAGTTGCTTCTAAATGATCGAAAAATGAGCGAACATTTTGTGCCAAGACTTTCTCGCCATAGGTTATTTAAAATTAATTTTTATGATTATTTTACCCATGTCGATTAACAGTATCAAATTCAACTAACAATGCTAATTTTTCAATCATACCAATAAGAATAAAACCACCAATCAAAAATTGTATTTTAAGTAATTCATGCCAATAGAATGCGCACCAAATAAACCATAATATAGCAAATAAAGCATAGATACCACACATAACACAATAAAAAATTAATCTTGGATATTCATCAGCTGTTATATAACCACCATGACGATTTTTCATTGTAACAATAATATCAACATCAGGTTCAGATCCATTTAAATCAATAAAATTTGGTGGAAATATTTCAATAAGATAATAACCATCATTCCATGTTCGTAATCTATTTAAGTTTCGTTTCTTTAAAATATATGCTAATGGAGATTGTTCATCATTTGATTTTATTATCGTTTGATTAGCAGTACGAAGATAATGAATGTTATTTTCTAAAATATTAAATTTAAAATCTACTTAAAAATAAATATTTAATTTTACGTGAATTTGCAGTCATTTGTTTACGTCCTTGTTTTAAAAATTGTTTTATTAATTCTGCAGCTTTTTCTGATGAGATTTCTGGTCCTCTTATATTACTATATTCATCAAAATATAATTCTTCTGGATAATTACAATCAACCTGTTCCATACGAAACGTTCTTTGTTCCATTTGCTTCCACGAAAGTTCATAAGAATATTGTAAAAAAAATTGTGGATCTTCATTATCTTTTGAGAATAATCGATTTATAGCCATAGATGCACCAGATTCTAATGGTAAACATTCAACAATACGACCAATGCGACCGTATATTTGAACTTTTGTTTTTTCGTATTCTTTATTTAAATTTGTTTTTATTTGACCTTGAGTTTGTTTTACATTTGCAGATGGTTCACGACAAAGAATTTTTAATTGAATTTGTGTATCATTAATTAAAAAACGATCTACTATTAGAGATGAACCACTAAGGGACCAAGACATTGTTACTATTCCATCGACAAGAGTAGCCGAGGAATATTTTATCAAACAGAAAAATAATAAGTAAATGAAAAAATATGTTTTCATGATCATTAATCTGAAAAAGAAATTTGAGAATTACCTTTGTTTACTATATTTTGTTTTATTTTATACGTTTGATGCACTTCTCACTATCAATGTCTATAGATAAAAGTCGGGTAATAAAAAAATTAAAAGAATTCTAATTTATTCTAAATTAACATAAGATAAGAAACAATTTAACACTAATCTGATTTGGAGAAATGCTTCTTTTTTAGAAATTCATTACTGAGAAATTTATTCCCCTGTAACGAAGAGGACTAAAATGAAATAATGGGTAATAATAGAACGTTTTGCAATAGGTAGCAGGTAGTTTTAACATGTTCTTCTTTAAAAAAAACGAATATATTGTGCTCAAATTCTTCACACTGCCATCAAACACTTGATTCTTGTTTCCACTCTTTTATACGATGAGGTACGAGACTTTTTTAAAATTTTTGATACATTGCAATTGCAAATATTTTGTTCATTCATTTGATTCATTTCATATGAAAGTAAAAGTGTCAAAAATAAAAACAATGAATTATATTCCTGCAATAAAGAATACAACAAAACTCACCGAAGGAAAAAATATATTAAAACAATTTTCAAAGCTGCTACGTAGTCGAATGTTTTCTTTCACAATTAAAATAGCATGAAAGTTTTGCTATAAATTATTTGGAACTCTTTACAACAAACATTTTGACTAATTTTCATGCTTACGCTTGCCCACACAAAATCAGCTTCTCATGTTTTCGATTGCGACGCAGTTACGCGCAACTCGTTGTTTTCATCGCAACTACCCGTAACTACAATTTTTTTTTTCGCAATTGCTAAAAAATAGGCGACATTGGTTGTTTTGAGAAATTTCTTTGAAAGTAATTTCGAATCATCTTTGATTAAAAAGTTTATCAATTTAGTTACAACACATGTTACAAATGATTTCAAAGAAACATCATTAAACAAATCGAGTCTTCATTAGTATACATGGTTACCGTGCAGCGATGTAACCGGGATTTTTAAGCCAATGGACAAACTTTTCTCGCGTCGAAAAAAAACCGATGGGCGAAATGGGCAAGGTTTTTATTGATAGATGAAAACTTTTTTTGGCCTAATAAAATACTAATAACGTAAAAAAAACTTGCATAAGTTTAGGTTAAGGATTCTTTCAAGATGTATCTGTCCAGCACATATGGACATTTTTCCTACGAACTACGTCATTGGATTTTACGTTTCTCTTCTATGCGTCACTCTCTTTGTATATATATCTACACATACATATGTTCGTGTGTGTTCTCTTGATCGGTGCTCTTGTTTTTCGCCTCTTTGATCTATTATTCTTCTCTATCTTTACGTAATTACTGTTTTCTCAATAAAACCGAACTCACGCTCACCCAAACTTACAGTTAAAATCAGAGTTGCCAGATCTTCTGATTTTTGCCGAGTTCCGAACATTTTTAAATGATGGCTTTACTAATGTAGTTTCCGATTTCTGCAGCCACTGACGAATACTTTAATATGTCAGTAAACTTTTGTGTTACTGAACTTAAGAATGAATGCTAATTATTATTTTTTTTGAACGATTTTGTAAATATATTTTAGCTCACAAACATTTATTGAAGAAATTTCGAACAAAAGAAAACTTGAAAAATAATATGAAATTTATGTTGTCTCACCTTTATTATTTTTTGTAAACAGAGTTTTGAGCTTCGTAAAAGAATCCGACACTAGATGTCTTTTGCTAGCTTTTTTTGCATTAACTAATAATTGAAAGTCATATAACTGCGTGAACTAAGGAGATTGGTCATAGTCGGATCAAATGAATGCTCTCATTCGCAGACCAACTAGTTTAAAACATGAGCTGCCAATGACGTACACAGACTGAGATGTTTACATTTCAAGATATTTACAATTTGTCATGTATTCACACTACAAAATCTCATCAATACTTAGTTTCCTTTTCTCGTCATAGTTGGATAGAACACGACTATTTACATAAGGAAAAACAATATCATATATATTCAAAAGCAATTAGAATGTTTTGTTTATTACTCTTATTATTAAAAAAAAATGTTGTTCTATACTTCGGAGAATTTGCATTTTAATATGCGTGATATTGTTTTTACTTATGTGAATGGTCGTGCTTCATTTAACCACAACGAAAAAAGAAAACTAAGCGTTGATGAAATTTCGTAACATGGGCACATAACAAACTGTAAATTTCTTGAAACTCGAATATCTTGATCTGTGTACGCTATTGGCAGCTCATATTTTCAAATTAGTTGGTTTAACAGTGAGAGCATTCATTTGATCCGATTATGATCAATATCCTTAGCTTAGAGTACACGATCCTTCACTCTAAGCTATATAATGTTTGTGTTGTCTTTCTTTACTATGAAATACGTTTCAAAAACTAAAGTATCAGTCGATAAACAAAAAAAGTGAAGTATTTTGTGCAAATATATCAATATGATAGACCTTAGTTTGCAAGAAGTTACTCGTTCTGGCTAATTTCCAATTTCGAAGAAAAAATTTTGATTTTTTGAAGTTTTTTATCTGGCAACCCTAGTTAAAATACCAGAAACGATTCTTTCTTTAATTGTTCACAGAAAGAACAAGTAAAAAGCGCATGTGTGATTCAGACGGAAGAAAAAAAAATAGAATCACTATCTAATTCAAAAATAAATAAACAATTCTAAAAAAGTAAAATTTCAATGAGCAAATCTCCAAATGAAATGGCCAGTTGCTCATTTGTCCCTATCTTGGCTACGCCGTTGGTGGATGTGAGTTGTTGGTTTGGATTCAAAGAAGGCCCAAACCCCACACACTCCTGATAGAATGAACCAATGGAGTGGAGAGAACCGAGAATCTCTAGTGCTGCAGTTTCCATCTATGAGCGCCCCTATAGAGCGCTTTTTCATTGGTTCGTATAAGACTACTAATAGAATTGCCAACATGATCGTATTGTGGTAGCTTCACGTGCTTCACATTAATTATTTCTTTTCTTCTTGTTTCTTTCAACTAATAAACGATTCGTAGTACATGAATAATGTTTTCATAGGTTAGGGTTCAAAAAAAGGCATTTAGCATTCTGTAAGTAACACAAACAGAAATAAATTGAGAATAAACGAGTTTTTTTTGTGACGAAGAAAAAGTCTCTTTGATGTTGAATATTCCAAAGAACAAGAATAGGTCAGGAGATGATGAAGCACATTTTTTATATAAATATGCATGAAATTATTATTTTTTCTCAACGAAAAGAAAAAAAATTGCGCTATTAACTAACGAGTTTCTTGATATAGCTAGACTTTTGTGTACTTTTCACCTAAGTTACTTTTCGATGCTATTGATTTCTAGTTTCGTCACATAATCATTTACAAACTTTTTGTTCGTTTCATCATCACTATGCATCTTTATTTTGAATTTAATCGATTTTTATGAGAACATTGGAGATAACAAATTTAGATATGTTCCATATTATTTTTTCTTGCTATATACAAATACAACTCGAAAAGCATATCGATATGTATCAGGAATGAAATGAAAAGTAATCTATGCATTCTGAGAGTCACATTTCTATCGTTAAAGATTAAAATTGTCTTTCGAATTCATCTTGTCTTCCTCAAATTGACGTTTTCAAGAAAAAAAAAAGGCAATAAAATTTTGTATCAATCGATGGATGCACGCGTCCTTTCTGCATAATGTTCTTTGTCTTGCCACCTTTTTTTTTTACTTTCTTTTGACTTTGTGCGATAAAGCGATAAGAGAAAAAGAATTTTTCTTATGTTTATATGACAGCGAGACTCCTTGTGCTACTCATTCTCTGCACATGACTAAAGGTGAATACTAGCAAAGTGAAGTAGTAGTATTTATAGAAAAGAAAAAAAAATATTCAATGGCTTCTGAAGTCACCGATGAAAAATTAGATGAGTGTTGTCTCACTGAATATCATCCATTGCCTGGAACTCCACGAGGGCAAATTATCAAAATCGCCGACATTACTACTTATTATGTTTCGGGAACAGACAATGCATCCAAAAACAAGGCAATTGTCCTCTTAACTGATATATTCGGTACGTCCTTATTCTTTATGTTAGTGTCCTTTATATGTGTAAAACATTGAAATAGGTCTGTCAAAAAATCCACGTATTACTGCTGATGAATTATCTGAAAAAAGTGGTTTCGATGTCTATATACCGGATCTATTTAATGGAGATGGGATTGCTCCATCATTTCGAGAAGGTACACCAGAAGTTCCTGGAGAAACGATGTCTATTGGTACTAGAGTAAGTTGTAGATACTAAATTACTATCCATTCAAAAATACAATGGACTCGATTGTAATTTGAATAATTCGAAAATGAAAGTAGCTAGAGATCTGCGATTTTCAGCATTCAAAAGAGAATAATATTTTTTTTACTAAGCAACATAAAAATATGATTGAAACATTTTGAAAACGAAATTCTGAAGATATTTCTCATTGGATTTTGAACTTTGACATGATCATTCGATAGGAAAAATTGAGCTCTTCCGATCTACGCAAAGCCGAGGTCTCTATCTTATTTCGTTCAAAAGTTATAAGAGTTTTCCTGAGACATCCAGTTTTGGCTAATTGTCATTGGATAATCGAAGAATAGGTCTGGGGAGAGGTAATTGACCATGCTGAATCGAATGATGGTATTTATTTCCATTTGCAAAGTAATTTAAAATCACTATATTGAAATTTATACATTTCAAATTTTTCTGCTATGTATCGTAAAGAGGTTATATTTCGAAAATCTCGATACAGTAGTTTCAAATTACTTTGCAACTGAAAATAAATATCAACATTCGATTTAGCATGGTCCATTACCCCTTCACGGACCTATTCTTCGGTTGTCCAATGACAATTAGCCAAAATAGGGGGTCTCAGAAAAACCTTTATAACTTTCGAAGGAAATAAGATAGAGATCTTGGCTTTGCGTACATCGAAAGAGCCCAATTTTTCCTATCAAATTATCATATCAAAGTTCAAAATCCAATGAGAAATATCTTCAAAATTTCGTTTTCAAAACGTTCATCAAGAATTCACCTGATTGGTCAATTGTCTACCAATCATATTTTTATGTCATTTAATAATAAAAAATTATTCTCTTTTGAATGCTAGAAATCGCAGATCTTTAGCTGCTTTCGTTCTCGAGTTATTCAAGTTACAACCGAGTCCATTGCATTTTTGAATGGATAGTGTAGTTACTAAGAAAATTGCCTTGCTCTATTTAGATTTCCTTTGCTGGAAAATTTGTAACGACCCTTGCTCCCTGGTTATTTCGTCATCGGCAAGCTGTCACTCTTCCCATTGTGGATAAATTCTTCAAAGTAAATAATTATATTACTACTTTTTTCTTCTCTCTAACAAACATTTATAAATAGACTCTTCGTTCGGAAAATGGAGTTACCAGAATACAAGCAGTTGGTTATTGTTTTGGTGGTCTCTATGCATTATTAGCTGGCAGCAAGGAACATCATCTTGCAGATGTTGTTGTTGGTTGTCATGTCTCACTGACCAATAGAACGAACTATGAACAGTTGGATGTACCTGTGGCATTTGTTTGTGCACAAGAAGACTATCAATTTACGGATGCTCTTCGAGCAGAAGCAGAACAAATTCTCTCGCGTAAATCAGAAATACCCAGTAAGTTTCTATTAACAGAAGGAACTGTTCATGGATTTGCAGTCCGACCCAATCCTAACAATCCAGTCCTTATGAAAGCATACAAACAAGCCAATGATTTCATCGTAGAATGGGCCAAAACTTATCTTTAATACTTACATTCATTCATTATTGCTACGAACTATTTTTCGAAGACATTTTAGCCAGTCTTTGTAAGAAAAACAATATTCTAAATGCATATAGAATATATTGTTAAAGATCGGCTAAGCATGGATATACTGGGTCTCACTTTCAATAATTTCTAGTGGGATAGTGAAAGAACGATCGATTTTAAATATAAGGCAACTACGATAATGTCAGAGGCATATACATCCAAGTCTTTACCAGATTTTTAGTGTTAAATATTGAAAAGAAACTGAAACAATGACTTTTTGAGTGCATTGATGTATTTGTAAACAATATAGACTAACCATTTCAAATAAATATTTGATTTTGTGACATTTATCTTTGTGCCTCAGTATGTCAATCACACAGAATTCAACTGAATGACAATCTTACATTATTCCGTTTCGATATATGAAATAGATAGAGCGTTGCAGTATAAACGATTGAGTTAATCTTTTTAAATGAAAAAGTAACTCTATTTAATCGATAATCATATTGTTAGTTGACTCTATTGATGATGACTGTACAAATGTTTGTATATTCATGCAATGTCAGGATAATAATCAACATCACTATATGAAACAAAATATTTGACGGGGAAAAAGTCCATCGATAAAGTGATTTTTGCAATGGGTAAACATCGAAATCCTGAATTCTGAATTCTATAGAATTCCAAAGAATTTTGTAACATATCATAGAAAATTCATAGAATTCAAGGATTCCGCTATTTACCCTTGGATTTTTTGTGAATTTCACGAGTTTTCTGCAACAAATTGATGTCAACATCTGATGAAATACAGTAAAAAGAAGTATTGTTCAAGAATTGTGGACACTATTTGGCATGTATATATGTAGATCCAATTATTCATACAATATGATTTGATGATGATTATGTATGACGAACTGAAGGAGTAACTCTATCACCACCCTCGATATGATGTTTATTGAGCTGCTTCATCACTTCAGTTGTTGCTATAATATTATGAACACATTCTTATATACTAGTCACACAAGAGAAAAGGTATAGAGAAACATATTTCGTCAAGATCAACATTGCAAGATAAGTGTAGCGGTCAATAACCGTTACAATATGTATAAGATATTGTTGAAATTATTTTTGATTTCATATTTCTTGTTATTAAAATTGAATTCATCGGATTTCCGATTCATAGGAATACAAACAAGCTTCAAATTTATCGTGCTTTCGTTATATATTCTAGAATAAATTGAAAATTTCGAACTAATCATTATAGGATAGAAATTCTAGAAACCATAATGATTATTACTCATCTAAGAGTGTGGGTGTAGATACCCACACCCATTAAATTAATAGACGAAGTTCATAATCACTAAATATTAGATTATTATACCAATATAATTAGAAGAAAGGGTGTGGGTGTAACAGAGAGAAGTGAATATCAATACTCACATCCTACAAATTTTTATTTATATCTTCACAACTTTTTGACACACTTGAAATCTAGTACCATCTGCTTCAATACAGCATTTGGCCTTTTTTCTATGAGTAGCCAATCACAAACAATACAAAAGATTTCGAGAAATCTTCTAGAACTTTTTCTGCTAATCATTTTTGGTAAAAAAATTTCAATTTTCATCAAAAAAGGACGGTACTAGAATCAAAATATTAAAAAGCCTTATATTACTCCTGGAATCCAGAGCTGCCGATCTTTTCTAGTATTTTGACCCTAACACTGTCATTTGATCATGAAGATAGAATTTATTTTTATTAAAATAAACAGCAAAACAAGCTCTACATAATAGGATATGTCAACAAGTTTTTCGAGTCTTTTATATTTTTTTCGTTGGCTACTTGTGGAAAAATACCTTGCCAATAAGTGACTACAATCAACAGAGCTTTTCGAGAATTATCTGTGCAAGAACATCCGAGAAGATTTTATGAAGTCGTCAAAAAGTCAGGTAGACTATGAAAAACTCAAATTTTTCAAATAAATTATTTAAAAGATTCAGAAAATTCAAGAACATGAAGTATTCGAATCATATAGAAGTCGAAAATCTATCATATACCGCACATAAAAACTGTAAGTTTTTCTCTTTTAACTCGGTAATAAAAGTCTTAGTCGATGTTACTAAATTTTTTACTTATCAAAAAAAACACCTTGGAGCTTTCCTCTATTGTCAGAAAACGTATTAGTTCATTTGATCAAAATTCGATGTAGATATATAAATCTTTTTTTTGCTTAATGATCTTCTGAAAACCCTATAGCAAGGGGGCAACAATCAGTGTTGAAAATGATTGATAATTCAGGATCTGTTTTAAAATGAATCTAGATTAAAAAAAAACTGAAAAATAGTCAAAAAGATGCCGATAAATTGTCACATTGTGGTCCATAAAAAGGAATATCTCTTCATAGAGATTCGAACTTCTACATGAGTATACTTTGTAGCATTTTGCAAGTTCTATTCATAGCAAAAAAAAAAATTTCTGGTTCCGCTAGATGCTGAGATGTGAGACTCAAAATAGGTCAAAAATGACCTATTTGAACTTTCACAAATTTGGTCTTGATTTGATTTCAGAGAATAAGTATTAAAATGTAGAAAGATCTCAAATACATTGATGTATAGAATAAACAATTCTCTATCTTTTGAGATATTACTCGACTCAGTGTGTTGAATCATTTCCGAGATGTTATTGAAATACTAAAATTGATTGATATATGGATGTCTAACCCACTCCCTTGCAGTGTTTCATCTCTCACTTTTCAGGATTACATTCGATCGGGCTAAAATTTTGTTTTTATTGGTAATTTTGTTCGAGCTTTCTTTTGAAACCATAAAAAGGATATGTCAAGGTTTTTCTCATGACGGGTATTGTCGATTAGACCGTGGACTCTCTTAAAATATGCTTTTTAATAAAAAAACGAAACTCAGAATTTCGAAAAACCAATTACTACTTCAGATTCCTCATCTGCGAAAACCTTTGGTCAAACTTTATAAAAAAAAACCATCATTTTCGAGGAAATCATTACCCTCGAACTCATCGAGTCCCATTATCTCTTGTAAAAATATCCTTTACTTTATCTTTATCTTTGAAAAATAAAGGATAAAGTTTTTTTTTTCATTCCTTTATTCTTTATTTTTTAAGGACAAAAGGATTCATTTATCTTTATCCTTTATTATAAAGGATAGGTTTTATAACAACCGATAAAATTCATGAATCATCTGTATTTTTTTTTATTCTGTCATCTATTCTTCATTCTTATTTTCATTTTTTTTCTAACTAATTACACAATAGTTCTCATATGAAATAAACAAAAACCAAAAATCCCATAACGATAAAAATAATAATTTTGATTTTACTCAATAGATCATCAGGATGTTATTGTCTTAGTATTTAGAATAAATTACACTCATAGACACACTCCTACTTATTATGAGTCACTGAAGACACTTTGCTAAACCTGAAAGCTTTGGATTTATCATAATTTATCCTTTAAATTACAATTATCGGTAACGATTCTTTTAATTTTTCTGTATAACTGTGTTCTATCATATATGCTTCGTCGTACATTTCATTATATTATATGAATCCTATGATCGAATTGATAAAGGAACTAAAGAAAAAAAAAGTAAAAATGATCAATAGATTATAAAATTAACAATACACATGATTCATAAATTTTATTGTTGTTATATATACGAGTAGAGATAATTTTGTATTTTTTCAATTTTATTTTGATTATTTTGCGTTGCTTAAAGGAAAGAAATCCAACAAAAAATAAAAAAGCGTATAATAATCGAGAAAGAAAAGAATGTATAACGTTGTCAAAATAGACAATTTCATCCACGTTTCATCTTGATGTGTGTAAAATATTTACTTATTTCAAAGTGGAAGATATGAATCAAAGTGAAATTAGGCGTGGGTGTGGATGTGCATGTGAGTGTGTTATTTGTTTCACTTCCGTACCCACATCATAATGAAAGCTTCTTATCGATCATAAAGAGTTAGAAATGTGTTTAGTCATATATTTCGAAAATGAATACATCGTTTTATGCGATGTAATATATTTAAAACCAAAACAACGACAGTAAAAATTGTTTGGTGCCTAATAGCTCAATTGATCTCACGTTCAATCAATGTGTGTTCAAGACAAAGGTTCTAATGAAATGATACAGAACAAAAATAAGATGTTAGTCGTCAAGAGTATCTCTTTTGAATCTCAGGAGATCGCGTTCGTACGTGTTGAATCGTTTTTTCTCTCCAAATCTAGAGAACTTTAGGTAATTGATCATGCTGATTTTGAATATAAATACAAGACTCGCAGCTTGGATTTCAGAGATTCTCTATTGGAAGGCCAACTTTTTCATGCGAAAAAACGTTTTTCGTAATTTCCTTTTGATCTATTCAGATTGTAGAGTATGTCAAGTTGGAAACAAATGTCTAATTCGAGCTTGAATTATAAGTTTAAATTTTCGATAACTCCTCTTGTACATAGGGAGAAAAAAGTAAAATATAAAATTCACATGAATTATAAATTCATAAATAGTATACAGCGATTCTCTTGAAAAAGCAAGAAAAGAAAAAAGAAAATTTATGAGTTGCAAATCGAATCTTTGTTGAAGACTCAAAAAACAAAGGAAAAGATAAGATTTATAAACATCATAAATTTATAAAATGTAAAGCACGTCTGTGTTGGAAAAGTAATGAAAGATAAAAGTTACAATTTTATCTAAATTATAACCTGGATGTCAGATGAGGTGAGTAAATGTCTAATTCGAGTTCCACCATTTGAAATTACGAATATAAATGAATTTTTTCGAAAGCCATAAGAATCTTTGAGAGTAAGACCATCTGATTATCAAAGATCTACCACAGATATATCTCAGGATGTAACTGTGGATGTGGATTTAGATGCGAAGATTCATACCTTCATACATTCATCCACATCGTTACTCGTTCGTGAAGCGGTGCTGACAATCTTGAAGTGATGTTGTCAGGATCCTGTGCAGAGCCTCTCAGAATTTCGTGGGTGAAATTCGAATTTCTAAATTATAATTGAGATGAAAATTTCATCTTGTGCTTTGTTTTTGCTCAAATAACATAGAATTGTCTTTTTTTTGTATGTTTTTATTTATTTTCTAATTAACTAGGTACTAAATTCTTCGATTATATATGTATTCAAATTGGACCAGTCATATGTGTTGACTATGAAGCATTAATTTATTTTTGCTTGTAGACCATCAGAAACATAACTCTTTCTTTTCCCGTCAGAGTTTTGAAGAAAAAAAATGTCCTTCTTTTTTTGTCTTGTTTTCAAAGAAATGTGTTGAAGAGATAAATGTCACTCTCAATTAGGGAAGCGGTTTTAGAAGAATTTAACACATTCTAGTTACTGTTACTTTTATAGAAGTATCATTGAAGTCAAGAAGAGTGCCTTCTCCAATGAAACAGAATACGAGATTGCAAATCTCTTGGATCAAAAACATGAACAATATGTATAGTTTGTACAAAGTGTATTATGAAAACGAACTACTAACTAGTGAATACTACATGTTAATATACAAATGAAATAATCAAAAACAATTTACTGATATCCGCATTATTGTTCAAATGTTAGGAATTCTACTGGCTTTATACTTCCATAGAGTCTATCAAAAAAAAGTCAAAAATCCACCAGATATGATGGCAAGCAATGCATAAAACATAATAGTCCATTTTTTGTCATTACGTTCACTCTCCCATCGAATTTATTATAATGACAAAAAACTACACTCTCACAATTTATCTCTTGTTTTTCACGATAACTGTTGAAGTTTTAAATGATTTTTGATAGAAATGTGATCAAATGCATGTTAATCATGCGTCTGAAATAAAAGGTTGATTGCTTCAATGTTCCAGTAACGCGACCTATAGCTGTATCTGCATATTAGCCATATGTCTCTAGTAATTGATACTTGTCTGAAAATTTCAAAGAGCAAAGGGTAGCTAAAAAAGAGCACTTTCATTATTACTCTGTTGTATTTCGTGCAATCAGACGGTCGATTTTGCTGCTGTGCTACATTAACCGAGAACTATATGCATACGTGTGTTTAGAGGTGCAGCTCTTGTAGTAACGGAATCCGAGATGGGGATATTTTTGGTCAGTAGTTTATACTTTGTGGGCGTAGAAAGTTTTTCCGCAAATGAAAGAGTGTGGGTGTTAAGTGAAATGAATGACGCACCCACACTCAAACGATGTTCTTTCATATAACTAATTTGTTCATTAATATCCAGGAGCAAAATTTCGGCATACTTTTTGAAATCTAATCAGATACTAAATGAAAATGTCTTATCATTGTTTTTTCTTTTCGTATCTACTTTTCTTCTGAAATTCAGCATACACAAAAAAGGTATTCTTATCTCTGTTTGTTAAAGATACTTTAGAATATCATTATTTTGTTGTTTGTGAGCATATATATGTATATATATATTTTAGTTTGGTGAAGACTTTAAATGATAAATTGAATTATTCCAACATATAATTGTATAATTTAAGCTGTGCAAAAAATTTATTACTAAATTAAAAAATGTCCGTTGAAAATAATTCAACTTTAAAAATAATGGCACTTGGCCGTCCATTCAAACTTGGAATGCTTTATGACTTTAGAACTGATAAACTTATTCATAATATATCATTATGGAATTCTGATCTATCTTCAGAATATATTCATCAACAACCTTTGTCATGGACAAGATCTGAACTTTATTTAAGTGATAAATTTACAGAAAAAGCAGATCTATTAGGAATTGATAACAATCTTAAATTGAGTATTCTAGCTAATCTTGTTGAATTATCTAGTTCAACATGTTTAATCGATGATCAAAAGAAAACAAATCAAACGTTACGATTTATTTTAAAATATTCAATGACAAAAAATCTTCATGAATTAACAATGAGTGATATCAATAAAATGTATAATAAACATCGAGAAGTATTCTATAAAGAAAATGCTACTCATATTGTTACCAGTATTCTTTATGGTCGTGAAATATTTTTCATATTTGATCGAATATTATCTAATGATGAAAATCGTATTGATATTGAAAATAATATTAAATTACTTTTGAAAAAATTCGATACATTTCAAATTTTTAATAATGGTGAATTAAATTGGAAAGATTATGAAAAACAACTAGCTAATACATTAACATGTCAATATTATGGTGATTTTCAATATGAATCAAATCCAATAACATTTGAACAAGCATTTAAACTATATAAACATTCATTAAATTTTGTTCTTCAAAATAATGATTATGGAATACCAAAACAAATATGGATATATCCAATTTATTTATTAGATCAATCATATTTAATAGGAAAAAAATCCTATCAAATTAATAATGATATTCTTACGGAATCTTTAGAACTTTTTGATAATTTATATCAATTGAAAATAACTTTAAATAATTTTAAAAATAATTTATCGTCTATTAAAATGTTCTATCGAACTGAAGAACAAATATCAACATATTTTACTCGAATATTTGAAATTGATATTTCTATGAGAAATCAAATGAAAGAATTATTACCAAAAATTCGTGATGGTTCTATGAAAGAAATAGATTTTACTAATCTATTAAAAAATGTTCATTTATCTTTATCCAACAAACAAAAATTAGATGAATTGATTCAATTTAAAACAGAAGAAATAAATCAATTAAAGAATTTTCAAAAAGATTTAAAAAAACAAAATAATATTCATCTATTAACATGTTCATTTGCTGAAGTTCAAAAAAATTTTACTAGTAAATTTATTCTTCGTTTAATTATTCATATTACAGAAAAAAATGATTCATTATTAAATGAAATATTTCAATATTTTGATGATAATATTAAAAAGTCATTAAATCAATATACAAAAAATAATTATTGGTTTAATGAAAATAATATTAAAATAATTAAAAAGCAAATTTCATCATTTATTCAATTTGCTGAAATCAATAGTTCTAAATCAAATATTGAATTTATTGCTAATGAAGAATATATCGATGAATTTCAAATGAAAAAAGGAGTAACATGTATTCTCTATAAAAATGGTATTCCAACTAATTTCGAAATTCCAAGTGAACCAGGACAACCATATGGGACAAATATTTCAGGTTGCAATTTAACACTTTGTTGGTCAAAACCTATCGATGGAAGTCAATATATTCAACAGTATAAGATTTATAGTAAAAATATTTCAAATGATACATGGAAATTATTGTTGACAACTGAAAATGCTACATTATTCGTCAATATTTCGGATCTTATTAATGGAAAATATCAATTCAAAATACAAGGAGTTACTAGAGTGGGTAATACAGTCAAAAGCAATGCCAGTGATGTTATTGGTTAGTATATATCTATTTTGTTTGTGTACAAACAATCATTTTTAAACATTTTACATTATTGAAGTTATCCTTTATGAAAATCTAAATTTAACCATCTCATTCATACATAGAGTTTCTCAGGTGCAAGGTGTTTATAGGACTTTTTCTTTACTTTAAGAGCAAAGCTGAGAATTCTAGACAACAGTCAAGCCAAAGTTTGATGAAAGTACTTCGACCACAGTGAGATAAGAGCAACGGTAACCTATGATATCAAAAATTAGAGAAGTTTAGAAGACACAGGCATACAGTCTTCAACCGTTAAAATTGCCATGAATTTCATTAAATTCAGTAAGGTTCTAAAAATATTCTCGGCTTTGAGCAGGCAAGCAATGTCATCTATAAAAAGAATATAGAACACTAGAGTGTCTCCGTGAATGTCGAAAATGCGATATATGCATCGAGAGAGAGAGGTTGAAGATCCATTAATTTTTTAAGGTATCTCTTGCAAACAATTAAGTTAGATAAGAGGTTAAGATTTACGCTTCACCATCTATTCATATTTATTAAAAGTTGTCACAATTATCAGAGTTCTTTCATAATTAAGACAAATTTCACAGTGCGTAAAAAATCACAAACTACAAGACACATTGATCTGCAAGGTTCATCGACATTTTCGCGGAAGATGTGGGTGAGTATGACTGTGAGTGTGAGTATCGATTTAGCTTTCTCTTCTCTCAGAATCACACCCACACCCCGTAGCATATCAGGTGGTGTTTGTAGCATTTCAAGTGCTATCTGTAGCATTCAGGATGGTGTCTATAGAATCCCAGAAGGTGTCAATAGCACGCCAGGAGATGTCTGTAGCATCATAGAAGATGTCTTTAGCGCCCCTCAAGGTATTTGTACCATCCAAAAAGCTTCCTATAGCATTCTAGGCGATGTCTGTAGGACCTGGAAGGCTAAGCGTAGTATGTTCAGTTATCCCTCTCAAAGCTACATGGAGTACATGTATTAAAATTGAAAGTAATGTTAACGATCCGACATTAATTAACTCTAATGCCATTAATGCTGGAACATTATTCTTAAGGGTGATGCAAAAGCATTAACACAAATGCTAACCTGGTACTCCCTATCCATACCCACCCTTCGCAGTTTAGTTCCATAGAAAGTACTTATACAACATTTTGCAATAATCTATAAAAATGTTTTAGAACTAAAGGCACCACAACCAACAAAGATTATTAACAAATCTACACCAATTGTTATGTCTAATGAGGTTTCCAATGATAAAGTTACTCTCGATGTAACACCTGCATGGTTCGAACCAGTGAAGTCTATTCCTAAAGAAAAAATTCGTTTTCCTGTTAAATACAATGAAAATTCTCCTACGGATGTACGTACGTACAATTGTTTGTCGACCTATCGCTCTATGGTGAAGAAAACATCAACAATTGACTTTATTACCGAACCCTTTTCATCTGCAGTCAATAATACTGAGACACTTGTAGTAGTTCTTAACGAACTTGCTGAACAACTTGGTGCTCATCTAACTTTTACTAATGCAGATTATAAATATAATGATAGTGATTATCGAACTGCATGTGGAGTGACAAATCTTGGTAGCATCCATTCATTTCTTGCTTCCGAAGGAAACTTTCAAACTGCTAAATTTGATCTTCACTTGGATCTCAATTATGATAATATAAGAGCAACGCCTGAATCATTAAGAATGTTTGTTTTAACAACTATTAACGATATTGGTGCTGTTACAGAATGTGATAGAGATTTTATTCGAGTATTTTCTGTTAAACGAGCTTCATCGATCTTTGTCCAGATCGGTTTCACTACGCCGGAGCGCAGTGAAACTGAAAAACTCGCCAAATCATTTAAAGAGAAATTAAATAAGATTTCGGCAACAAATCTTCCAGATATTGTAAACAAAGAATCAAAAAAATCGGTTACATCATTGAAAGAGAAGTTGAACAAGATACCAGTAGTAAAACGTCCAGATGTTTTGAAATATCTGATTCCAGAGAACTACGATTATAAAATTGAACCAGCACTTGCATTTTTGCAGTTGCAACAATCAGATTTTGAACCTCAATACAATCGTGACTATCCGTATGCCAATGAAGAAACAAGAGGCGGTCTTCCATATTATTTTCCACAAGGATGGTATCGTCATGCCCTTAAAGTCATTGATAAATATCCTGATGATAAAGCTTGGCTTGGTATGAATAATGGTCCTGGTGAATGGGCTGTCGCCTACCACGGAACAAAAGCAGGTGCAGTGAAAGGTATTAAAAATGAAGGATTATTACATAGCTTAGCTAGTTCGGATGTCATGAAATTCGAAGCAAAACAGCAAAATCCATCGATTCCAGATGTGGAAGGATTATATGTGGCAACACATTGTGAAAGAGGAGCTGCCGATTATACTAAGTCGTTTAAGATAAAAGATGATAGCGGTACAAGCAAGGATTACCGAGTTGTATTTCAATGTCGAGTTCAACCAGGAAAATTTACAGTACACCAGAGTCCCGTAAATGTTGGGATGGCATGGCGAGTGTTTGATGAGAAAGCAATTAGACCATATGGATTACTTCTAAAAAGTTCTTAAACAATAGAATTCACTTTTTTTACTATTGGCCAAAAAAAACAATGGCTTTAAAAATCACGAATGTATTCGACATTCTATAAAAAAAACCTATACGATACAATAAAATTATTATAGTTTTTCAATAGCGAAGAGTGTGTGACACTTAATAACTGAACCTGATGAATAGGAAGGGTGTGGGTATGAGAATAAGACCCACATCCACATCCAAAATCACAGCCTAAATAGTGATCGGTACAAGGGGAAAACAGCTGATTAGGAATCCGCTAATCATCCGAATGACTCCTAATCACTCCTAATCACTCCTAATCACTGCTAATCACTCCTAATCACTCCTAATCACCACTAATCACTCCTAATCATTATTAATCACTCTTAATCATTACTAATCACTCCTAATCAAACAGTGATCAAATCTAATCACTTTTAGTTAAGTATAATGTATAATATTATAAAAGAGATTCACAATCAAACAGAAGTTTCTTCTGTATAAATATGTATACCAATGTATTGTTAATACGAGGACACTTTTTACAAAACAATTTATTTAATAAAAATTCGAGCTTTCTAATGTACAAGACAAAGATTAATATATGATGCATTTCGAACGAAACAGAAAAATATTTAATTTCTTTCTAGGTTGACATTTGTCCACGTATATTCGCATCCTAAAAGAGAAAGTAGTGAGAGTGTAGTTTACAAATAAAGGTTAAAATACCATACAAGTAATAAAATATGTCACAAACAAAAAAAGAAAAACTTATCTACATCAAGAAATAATTTAGTTGTACAATATAAAGCTATGATGTAAAAATAGAACCATACACAGTATAACTATGACATAATAAAAAATATTTTAAAGATAATTTCAATTCTTTTGTTTTTTTTGACGGTTGATTTTGTGTGTCGATCCAAGTGTACGTTTACGATTAGGAACAACAGCTGTGATCGATTGTGAATTATTGTCAATAAGTTGACTTGATGATGTTGAATAAGAATTATTTCTATTCGTTTCTTCAAGTTTCTGTTCCTTCAACAAACGATTAACATATTTACAGCCAGGTGATTTTAAATGATGATAAAAATTAGATGGTATTAATTTATTATGGAGTTTTCCTAATGTAATAATTGTTTTACATAGGCATTCAATCGATGCTTGAACACCATTGGTACCTGCTTTTACGATTAATCTAAAATTATTACCGTCTTCTAGTTTGAATTCTTTTAGATTCAAAAACTTTTCATTCAAAGATGACCAATCATCAATACATTTTAATAAATGATTTCGTTGATCATCAACT